TGGCTATGTGGAGGAGATTAGGGGAGGTAGCTATAGGACGGAAGGACAACTGCATTGCCAAAGTACAGCGAGCGGCGGATGATGGTCAAGTATGGAGTCCGCCTCAGGTGGGGTTTACAAAGATTAATGTTGAAGCGGCCTTGCCAAGAGGTTCTAACCATGTCCAACTGGGGCGGTAGCTAGAGATCATATGGGTTCACGACTTGTATCGTACAGAAAGCAACCAGAATTTCTTGCTTTGTGATTGAAGCCGAGCTTTTGGCCATTCAGTTCGGACTTTTATTAGGTAAGGGAATGCGTAGTGAGAATATCATTATTGAATCAGATTCGAGGGGCGCAGTGCGTTTAGTTACGCACAAAAGAGCCGACTATCTTCAGTTTGGTGTGGTGGCATTTTTTGATAAGCCACTTTGATGTGGTTTGGTGTGGTTAGGGATGGCAATTTTCTTCGATTCCTGTGAGACTTCGCGGGGATTCCCATTATGAGGACAGGATAAGGAAGAATATTCTTTTTCATAGGACGGGGATGAGAAGTATTTTTCCCCTGCGAAATTTTACGGAGGATTTTCCCCACCTCATGAGGCCCCGCGGGGATCTGCATCTCTGCAAAAATTAAAACAAATATAAATTAATTTTATTTAAATTTAATTTATCTTTCGAACTCAAACCCAAATACAAACCCAAAGTCAAGTTCAAACTCAATTCAATCAAAATTAAACTTAACTCAATTTTACCCAACCCAACCCAATCCATAAAAATTAACCCAATTCATTCCCTTACTTACATGTAACCTTAACCCTAATTCATTTTCACCTTTCCCTTCATTGTTGGTTTTATTTTTGCTTATATTTTAATTTAGCTTGGAATAATCTTTGTTTATGTTTGGAACAAATTTGTTAATTATTGGTTTAGTTATTTATGTTGAATTGATTTTTATTTATATTTAGACAATTTATATTTGATTTTATATTTAAAAATTTTAGTTAATTGTATTTGAAGTTTTAGAATTTTATTCATTATAATTTTATAATTGAATATTAATTAATTATATATAAAAAACAAAAAAATTATAATTTAATATTAATTAATGGGAAATAGGGATTTCCGCGGAGAATAGAGACGGGGGGCAAAGTCTGCTCCCTATAAAAAATTCCTACGAGGATTCCTATCCTCGCTATTTGCGAGGATGGAGATGGGGAGGGACTCCCCGACCTTGCGGAGCCCCGTTGACATCCTTAGGTATGGTGGTTGCTGATATTTTTGAGCTAAAAGAATTTTTCTCTACTTGTTCCATCAAGTATGCTAATGGAAACAACAATAGACTAGCACAAGGTACTGCAACTTTGAAACGTTTCGTGATTCCATGGGAAAGGTTCTGATACAGGACCATATAGACCCACTGATGTTCAAATAGATTTTATTCAATGAATATGAGTGAGTTTGAACAGGATCTTTATATCCAATGATTCAACCTCAAGTTTTAAGTGCTTAGGTGAGGTGGTCGGAGTTTTGAGTTTTATCACCGTCGTGAACTTCATCAAAAAGCGACCCGATGGCCACGTGCCTCATTTGAGGAGGTAAAATATTCACTCTGTCTAGGGATCGAATCTCCAATTACTAACAATTAATTTAAACTAACTTTTTAATAATTATTCTTGTAAAAAAAAAAAAAGATGGAGTTTTCTTCTTTAAAAAGAGAACCTTTTCTATAATTTAGTGTCCAATCACATCAACCTACAAGGAAAGCACTCCCGCTCTCACTTCTAGTATTGCTATCTCCATTTAAGAAATTTGAATTTTTTTTTTTATTCAAGAGATTTAAACTTCTTTTATTTGAATTGAATTTTTTAATTAATGAAAACCAAACTTTTTTTTACTTGAATTAATAAGTTATTAATTAAAAAAAAATGTCAACACCTCTTAGAAATTATTTAGTATAATTAGTTGAAAGTGACAGATAATGATTTTATCTAATTTAATAAATAAAAATATTTAAATTATTATTAATAATAATTATCAATTATTAAATTAAACAAAATTATTAACTATTAGTTTCAAATTAGCTAAATCCAATATTCTCTTAATCTAATGATTATTGTTTTACTATTTGTTACAATTTAAACTATAATTTTTTTTTGGCAGTATACGGTGGCGGCAATGGGACAGAATAAAAAATTAATAACCCAGTGTTAGTGCCAGCCAGAACCACACAATTTTAGTCCTAGTGCAGTTCTAATGATGATTTCAAGAAGATGCAATCTGTGAATTATTATAGTTTTATAAAGTGCGCAGTGAACTTGCAGGTGATTCGTAGCTTCATAGAAATCATGCAGAATGACTTGATTTAATTGCTTGTGGGTTTTGTGGCTTTATGCCCAATTAACACTTCCCTTCACCATATATATATATATATAGTGCGTATAACACTATCATTTCCCTAATTAAAAGGCAAGTTTTATGCTTGTATTAGTGTTGAAGATTTAAGATTTTAAGAGTATCTTTTATAATACTAATTTATTTTTTAAAAATCATTTTTTTATATAAAGATTTATTTGTGATTTTTTTTATAGATTTATTGTTAACAAAAATTAAAAATTAATGTATTTATTATAATAAAAATGTAATAATAATAAATCATGCAATGATCAATTGAAAAATAAATAAAAAAAGAGAAGTGCATTTGTTAACTGAATTTCTAAAAATTAGGAAGAAAAACATAACAAAATTATATTATTTCAATAAACCCGCATTGAACAAGATAAAAACAATATTTTCCTAAAGTAAGGATGGGAGTGTTTTGATTTTATTGAATGAACATAATTTTGGAGTGTTTTCCTTCCAACTTTTTGGAGGTCATATTAATAAACACTAATATTATAAAAAAAATCTAACTAGAATGTTTTCTTTAGAAAGTAAATTCTAACTTGATTTATTTAACATAAAAAATTATTATAAATTCAATCATGAAAGTAAAAAGTACCTTGATACCATAAGAGAACTTTAAATTAATATATAAAATATGAAGAAAGAAAATAAGAGAATACTAAAAAAATTGTAAATTTAAAATTGTTCAAATAAAATTAATATAACTTTTAGAAGATATTAGGCGAGATGAGAGGTAGAGCGAGAGGGAGAGCAGACGGACACCGAACACGGACAACACAGGCAACACTGAGTTATGGACATGGGAGATCACGAGGGATAAGCAAACAGAGGAGCTATCGAACAGAGGAGCAGAGAAGAGTGCAAGGATGGAAGTCCAGTACTGGGGGAATGTACAACAGAGGTCTTTATAAACAAGCAACACCATATTTCTTCACCAACTTCCCAGAGGAGTGGAGTTATGTAGAGATGTGGATGACTTTCCGAAAATTTGGAAGGGTATTAGACATCTATAGCCCAAGTAGAAGAAGCAAAAAGGGACATAGATTCGGATTTGTGAGATTCTTGGATGTGAAGAACATAAAGGAGCTGGAAAGGAGGCTTGACCAGATATGGGTTGGCAATTTCAAGCTATGGGTGAATATTCCGCAGTTTAGAAACAAAGAACCGAACAGGGAAGAGGAGCATAGAAAGATACTAAGAGCGGAGCCAAAGATACAAAACAAGACGTATGCAGAGGTGGTGAAGGGACAGTATGGAATAGATGTAGGAGGCGACGTAGAGGCAAAACAGAAAGACAGTGGGAGTAGGAGCCTCGGGAGGGATAACAGAGGAAGTAGCACAAGAACGAACCTTCGAAGCAGAGAAACAACGCTAGTCTGGAAGGAGAAAGGACAGGGGGAACAATGGCTCGGCATGGATTACAATGTAAAGGAAGAAGAATATTCATGGCTAGAAGGATGCTATGTGGGGAAGGTCCATTCCGTTGAAATGGTTTGAAATCTACAGGAGAAGTTCTATATGGAAAGCTATTTCTCTTGTAGAATTCGTGCAATGGGGGGTAAATTGGTGCTGCTAGATTGTGATGATAAAGAGGAATTGAAGGACCTGGTAGAGATGGCATCATGTTGGTTAGAGCAGTGGTTTGAAGAGGTGAGCCCATGGACATCGGAGAAAGTGGCATATGAAAGATTTGTTTGGATTAGGTGCCAAGGAGTTCCCCTAAATGTATGGAAATCGGAATTCTTTGCTAAAATGAGTTGTGCATGGGGGAAGTTTATCTGTGTTGATGATAGCACCAGCCAAAAGAGGAGATTCAACATTGGCCGATTCTTAATATCAACGCCAATCATGGGAACAATTTCTGTCAAGAGGTCTATAAGGATTAATGGGTCCATTTACAACATTAAGTTCACGGAGGAGGAGTTTACCAATGGCTTCTTCTCATTGAAACAGGATTTCTTGCCTACCTTCCAAAGCGACTCAGAAGAACAGGAATCCTGGATGATGGAAAGCGAGGAAGAGGATTTGGGTTGTGTTGGTGCAAAAGAAGCACGGGGTGACATGGAAGACGCAAGGAAGTTGAGGTTGATGATGATGATGTGGTAAGCTATTGGGAGGAGAGCAACGGTAAACCTATAGCACAAGCCTTGAGGGGAAGTGAGATGACAGTTGATGGGTTACTGACACCCTGCAAAAAATTCAAATCGAGATGGAAAGGGAATTCAAAACAGATAGAAAGCTTTCGGGGGGAAAGAGAGGGAGATTTGAAATAGTAGCTGGGCCTATGAATGAGGAGGAATATCTCTTGGGCTTAAACGAACATAGTAAAAGGAGGTCTAAGGAGGAGTCCAATAAGAAGGAAGAAATTCCAGAAGGGGAGGTGTCTACCAATGTGGAGAAGGCCCAAAATAGCACTTTGAAGAAGGCCCAAAACTCTTTAGATAATGAAGCTACAAGCAGTCAAAGGGAAGCAGGGTCGGTGAACATCAATAATGGAGACCATGAACCCTCTGGGAAAGGGTATGAGAGGGAAGAGGACAAGCTAGCAGAATGGATAGAAGGAAAAGCTGAAGGGATCCTAAAAAAGAGCAAGAGACGAATCAGATCATGCAGTTCGGTATACTCGAAAGAGGGATTCACACAACAATTTCGACAAGAAGGAAGAGGCCGAAAAGGAAGAAGGCGAGGCTTTGTGGAGAACAGAGCACAGCCGAGTTTCGTGGCAAGCCCAACAGAAGAAGTAGCTGGGGAGTCTATTGGAGACAGCTGTATTCAAAACTGCAACAGATCAATCAAGAAGCAGTTGAAGAAAGAGTTGGCTAAGGAGATATGGGAAATAGCGAAGCAGCTGGGAGTAGTGGCCGAAAATGAGGAAGAAATAATACAAAGGATTGACGAATTGGAGTGCAGAGACAATTGGGCAAAAGCTAATCGGGAAAAGAATGTAACCGAGCCAAGGGAGGAGGTATGTGCAATTAAGAATGATTTTTTTGTCATTTAATGTAAGAGGACTGGGGGGGGGCCGAGAAGAGAAGGCAAATTAGGGAGTGGGTTGCAAAAGAAAAGGTTGAGTTTTTATTAGTGCAGGAGACTAAATTAGAGAAGATTGATAGATATATGTGCAGTAGGATTTGGGGTTCGGTGGAGTTTGATTGGAGTTTTAAACCATCTAATGGTATGTTAGGAGGCTTGCTTTGTGTGTGGAATTCAAAGGTGTTTAAGAAACATGAGATTTTGGAGGGTAATAATTTTATTGGAGTTTATGGGGTCTGGGGGGAAGAGGAGACGCCAGTATATATTCTAAACATATATTACCCATGTACTTTAACTGGCAAAAGAGGTCTTTGGGAGGAGCTGCAATGCTTGATCAGTAATAGAAGGGGAAGATGGTGCTTGGGAGGGGATTTTAATGCCACTAGAATAGTAGGGGAACGGCATAGGAGTAGAGAAATAACTAGAGAAATGAGGGAATTCAATTGTTTTATTCATGAAGCTGAATTGATAGATTTACCATTGGTTGGAAGGAAGTTTACATGGTATAACTCAAACGGGTTGCAAATGAGTAGAATTGACAGATTCTTTCTTTCAAATGGATGGGTACTGAAATGGAAAGATGTGAAACAGTTGGGCCTAAGAAGAACAGTGTCAAATCATTGTCCTATTTTACTAAAGAATGAGAAAGTGGATTGGGGGCCGAAACCATTCAAATTTTTTAATGCTTGGATGGATCAACCAGGATGCATAGAAACTATTAGAAATGCATGGAAATCTTGTGAAGTGAATGGCGGATATGGACTCAGGTTGAAGGAAAGGTTGAAATTCACCAAAAATGCTCTCAAGTTGTGGAGCGGAAGCTCAATGATAGCAATTGATAAGAAAATTAGGGAGGCTAAAGTAGAGATTGAAGAGCTGGATAAGAAAGGAGAAAATAGTCTTTTGACTCACATAGACATAGAAAGAAGGAGAGGGTGCTTTATTGATCTATGGAACAACTTAAAAATCAAGGAGAGTATGTGGCAACAGAAATCAAGGAAAATGTGGCTCAAAGAAGGGGATGCAAACACCAAGTTCTTTCATAAAAGTGTAAATGGAAGAAGAAGAAGAAATGAAATCTATAGCATTCTGATTAATGGAAAGCAACTCACTGGAGTGACAGAAATAAAGGAGGGGGTGGCAGAATACTTCCAGAATCTATTCACAGAAGAGGTATGGCATCAACCCAAACTTGATGGAATTGGGTTTAAGCAGATATCCCAAACTGATAATGAGCTCCTCATAGCACCTTTCTCTAAAGAGGAAATTAGGAAAGTCATTTGGGAGTGTGACTCTTCTAAAGCCCCAGGCTCGAACGGCTTCAATTTCAGATTCATGAAGTCCATGTGGGATGACATTAAAACCAAGGTGATCGGATTTGTAAAGGAATTCCAAGAACAGGGCAGATTAGTAAGAAGGTCTAATGCCTCCTTCATTGTGTTGATCTCTAAAACCGTGAATCCTCAAAGAATTGAAGAATACAGACCCATATCCCTCATTGGTGTCATGTATAAGATGATTGCAAAATTACTAGCAAGCCGCCTATGCAAAGTGCTACATAAGATCATCGGGGAACAACAGATGGCAGTTATTAAGGGTAGACAATTGGTGGATGGAGTAGTCATTGTGAATGAAGTAATAACTGAAGCGAAGAGGAAGAGGAAGAAAAGCTTTGTGTTCAAAGTGGATTTCGAGAAAGCATACGACAAGGTGTGCTGGAACTTTATTGATTATATGCTAGATCGAATGGCCTTTAGTGCTACTTGGAGGAGGTGGATCCAAGAATGCTTGAAATCGAGCATGGTCTCAATTCTAATCAATGGGAGTCCAACACGTCAATTTTCGGTCACAAAAGGCATCCGACAAGAAGACCCTCTATCCCCCTTTTTATTCCTGATTGTGGCAGAGGGTCTAAACGGATTGATGACAGCAGCTGTTGACAAAGAGCTGTACAAGGGTGTGGAGGTCGGAAAGGATGCAATAACAATTACTCACTTACAATTTGCGGATGACACCATATTCTTTGGGGAGGCCTCCGAGCAAAATGTAAGGACAATTAAGTGTATTTTGAGGACATTTGAAATGGCGGCGGGGCTGAAAATAAACTTCAGAAAATGCCAACTAATGGGCATAGGGTTGGATGACGATTGGAGAAACAAAATGGCTTATAGACTAGGATATAAAGAAGGGGAATTCTCGATCAAATACCTGGGGATTCCCATTGGGGGGAACCATAGAAGGCTTAAGATGTGGCAGCCATTGCTTGATTCGGTTATGAAGAAACCATCGAATTAGAAAGGGCGGTATCTCTTCCAAGGTGGTCGAATTACCTTTATTAACTCAGTGTTGTGCAGTCTCCCCGTGTTCTTGATGTCCGTCTACTTGATCCCAAAAGGTAAGCTTAATTCAATTGATAAAATTCGTAGCAATTTTTTAT